TTGTTTGTTATTATAGTATTATAGTATTGTTTATTTATTCAATTTGTGTACCGCCCTGTACCCATAGATCTCAAGGCGGTTCACAACATGGTATGGATGTTTGTGTTTTTATATTGTAAACCTCTCTATGATCCTCAGATGAAGGGTAATATAGAAATCAATCAATCATTCAATCAATCAATCAATCAATCACATAAAGCCAGGACTGTAAAAGAGAAAAATCAGGAACATGCTTAGAGTCTTTTCTCAATTCTTCCTTTGAAGTTGGATACCTGATGCCAGATGATTGACAGGTGGGCACCTGCCCCCCCCCCCCAGCTATCAAATTGGGTGGTCTGTGGAGGGTGGAAGAAATCCAATTTCCCACCCCTAATCTAAATGCGCTGAGATTATTTTCCCCTTCAGGAGCATTGTTTTATTCATACGGCATTTTATGCAGATTTAATCAATGGACTAATCAACTTAAACTCATACGATTAATCAACTGAAATCTCTTTAATTGTGTGACAGCCCTAGGGTAATAATAATAATTAACTAGTTGAGAACTTCATGCATCCCTGGGGCTAGACATATCCAGCTTAAGATCTCTCAATAATCATTTCCCTTTTCTGTCAGAAGCCCCTGTTGGGTTGGACTCAGTAGCCACAGCTTACCTGATGAAACATAGTCTGAGCAACACCAAAATAAAAGCCAAAAGTGCTTCATGACTATGAAAATAGTATACAGTGGTACCTCGCAAGACGAATGCCTCGCAAGACGAAAAACTCGCAAGACGAAAGAGTTTTTCATTTTTTGAGTTGCTTCGCAAGATGAATTTCCCTATGGGCTTGCTTCGCAAGACGAAAACGTTTCCTTTTTCTTAAAACCGTTAATACCGTTAAAACCGTGCTTCGCAAGACGAAAAATTTGCAAGACGAAAAAACTCGCAGAACGAATTAATTTCGTCTTGCGAGGCATCACTGTATTTTTCTAACGGTGCCCTACCTTTGGTAGAATGAACCAGGAAGTCTGCCTTCATCAGAGGGTGTTTTTTGACGCCAAATAATCTCTCTGCCCTCTCTAACACACATTCATTCGGGTTCACAGCTGACCCCATGTTTTAGATGCTGCATAAGAGTCATTATCTTAGATGTCCTGGGGATATGAATGGATGGAATAAGAGCTGCATGAGAGATGGGGAGAGGAGGGCTATTGTTGAACCTATTAAAAGGATAGCTGCTTCTGCTAACCCTGCACAGCTCTCTTTGATGCCGAACATTTTGCAGCCTTCAGCCCTTTGATTTGTGAGCAAAAGTGTATATCGTGCTTTGCTGCTACAAAATCATAAAAGTCCCCAACCTTGTCGCATTTCTTTTCTTAAAAAAAGAAAAACAAAACCTCCTTTCATTCCAGTTGCATTGCTATTAGAGTTTTGAGATAGTCCTTCATTTCCCAAAGAAAATCATTTCACACACACACACAAGATCAGGGGTCAGCAGGGGCTGGTCCACTGTAACTCAGACTTTGTGGGGGGCTGGACTATATGTTGAAAAATAAAAATAAATGAACAAATTCCTATGCCCCACAAATAACCCAGAGATGCATTTTAAATAAAAGGGCACATTATACTCATGTAAAAACACACTGATTCTCGGACCGTCCATGGGCCGGATTTAGAAGGCGATTGGGCCGGATCTGGCTCCTGGGCCTTAGTTTGCCTACCCGTGCTCAAGATTATTTTTCTTTAAAAAGCTATTTTATTCAGTAATATTCACTTCCTGGCTTCCCAGGACAGGGTTGGAAATGTCAGAATTAAGAAAATCCAAAGGGGGTTCCCTAAGAAGAGCACTGGTTAGAATACCCACTATATGTAGTATATATTGCCTGGAGATGTCTATGGTCCCCTGGGCTTCTCATAGTCTTGCCATGCCACAGGGTCAAGAAGTCCATGCCAAACTTCCTATGAAGTGAAGACTTTCCCCTGTGAAAAGTTCGTGTCCAATTTCCCAATGAAGAGCTAAGTGCATCTCAGATATGTTGAGCTCTCTACTGCCATCGGAGGAAAAAGTACACCAAAAAAAACAGGACCAGGGGGTCCCCCAACTCTCCAGAGCAAACTTTTGGGACCTGCAAGGGGGAAAAGAGAGTAAGGAGAAGCCCTGCTGCATGAGCAGAAACCTGCTCAGGCTACACTAGATCTCAGGCTTTATGCTTCAAAAATAGAAATAGTGGATAATATTAAATCCATTGAAATGAAGAGGAAAATGTGTTTCAAAGTAAAGACCTGCAAACATTTTTGTAAGTTTTTCACACCTAACGTGTTGTTTGCCTCATGCAGAGCTAACACTAAGTTGAAAAACACAGATGACAAAAATGCACTTGGTACGTTAAGACTTCAGCTAATTTACTGACATGGAGCTATTAATGTTTTAATCAAGATTCAGAACTAATCACATCTAAAGCATCATGGTTGGATAAAATTTGTTACCCATGGAGATTCCTCAAATGTAAATGTTTATGGCTGACAATAAAGGCGAACATGGACAAATTTTCAGTGGGATTAATGTGCTAATAAGTGAAAAGCCTATTATTAGTGTTAAGTGCTGATCTACAACTTACACTCTCCAGCAGGAGCCAGTTTGAAGCTAGATTCCTCTGGTGTTTCTTTCTCCAACCTGCTACTCAAAAGTGTACTTCAGTTAATTAGAGATGCCAGTGACATTTGCCCAAACCAGGCTAAGGAACCTCCCATTTGGATTACTGTAATGCACCATCCATGGGAATACTCTTGAAAAACTCCTGGAAGCTTCAATGAGTGCAGGATGTGGTTGTAAGAAGGTTAACTGGTAGTGCTGGATGGAATTATACCAATTGTTAAACTGCTGGCTATTTGCTTCAAGGTGTTGGTGCTTACCTAAACAGCTCAGAATCCAAGTTCTGAAGGACTGTCTCTCCCTATATCATCTTTCCCATGTCTTCAGATATTTAGAGGATATTGTTCTTTGCATTCCACTGTTGAGATGTTCTATGAGTGAGAGCCTTCTCTGCAGTGACACCCCATTTGTGGAATGCTCTCCTCTTAGATGTGCAGTTTGTGCCACCATTGCTATTTCAGCTCCAGGCTGATCTATCAGTTTGCCCAGATATTTTAAGTATCCGAGGAATGTAGTGGGAGATGATTAAATGATTGACAGGAAGACATATAAACAGCCTGCAAGCAAATCAGTATAAACGCTAGACGAATCATCAGTGCTTTGTAATTAAATAAAGTTATAATCTAACTGCTGTCAGCTTTGTGCAAGCAACCAAGATGAATTATCAATAAATAGTGTGGAGGGTGTCATAGTTTTGTGCTGCCAGCCAAGGCAGAGCTCAGTGGAGGGAGAAGCCAGCTGGCAAGACGAGTCTCAGGGGAGTACTTCCCTGGAGGCAGAATCCATATATAAGGTTCAGTCCACTCCTAAGGTCAGGATCATCTCAGTTCATGTAGTCAGACAATCCGGGGGTCAAGAAAGCCAAGGGCCCAAGGTTGCAAGAAGCATCAAGATCTGGCCAGGAATGACAAATGTTGTTTCCAGCAACTGACTGAGGTGGGAAACCCTACTTAAGAAAGCTGGAGCCAGCTGGTTCTCATCAGGAGCAAGAAGGTTGATCAACAGCAGATGGAGTCACTTCACCTTCTGCTCCTTCAGGTGAAGCCAGCTCCTGGCCCATGACACAGGGGTCCAGAGAGCTCACCCATCTCTACAACTTAATGCATGGTTCTTCTGGATCACAGGGCATTTCTCCATATCAGCACTCCATATACCTGGCAGTGGCTGATGTGGAAACTCTCCATGGAGTCCTGAAGAACCAAATGATCACCCCGAGGACAGCATCATGGAGATGATGCAAAGTGTAGATAAGCCTTAAGACAAAGTATGGAATGGATGACTCATGGGCCAAATATACCAACACTTTTCTTAGAAATTTATTATTATTATTATTATTATTATTATTATTATTATTATTATTATTTACATACCACCCTATATCAGGAGGTCTCAGGACAGTTCACAGAACAAAATCAAAATATTAAACCACAAAATATATAATAATAAAAACCACTGTCATTTTGTTAGCATTTTCCCCAGTATAAAGGTATCTTGTATTTTCTGGTCTGTTGCTAACACACCTGCATTCATTCACTTTTGTTTTAAATGCTTAGCAATTCTTACCATTGTACGACTGTGGCACTTTTGGAATATAATGTAGGTCATGTCGAGTTTTCTTCTTGAAAAGAAAAGCAGCACTGAAATGCTTACAAATAATTTTAAAATACAAAGTTTGGAATACAAATTCAAAGTTAGGGTTTCATTTTTTAAAAAGCAATACAAAATCTGTGGAATACTGTTAGGCAATGATATGTTCTCAGGGAGCAAGATCCAGAATTTGCCTCCTGAATCCATCCTGTGAATTTATATTTGTCTGTAATGAAGTTTTCTTGTCATTTGTTTCAACTGTGTAATTGTTCTCCACGTTAGGAATCTTTTCCTCCTTATCTTGTTTATGCTGACTTCTGTTAGCTCCAGGCAAGTTTTCCTGTCACTTCATCTTCACAGGCTTTGAATAATTCTCTTCCTTCATTTGCAGTGTTACCTTGAAAATATTGATAGGCTGTGAACATGTCCCGCAAAGTTTTCTTTTTTCATGATAACAAAAATGCAGCTATCTCCCTTTCCCAATAACTATATATTTTCCCTGCCCTACCTAGGCCTTTTATTACACTGTTTATTTTTTTCTGCCTAATTTTCCTGGTACCTGAACTAACTGTGCAAACCAAATGGATAGATGAGCAATAGAAGATAGGTAGGTAGGTTGGTAGGTAGATAATGTTACTTTGTTGGTGCTGGTGGCTACTGCAGACCCTCCAAGTGCCCCTGTTTTCCAGGGACAGTCCTGGATTTACATCCCAATCACCCCAGTTTCTGATTTGATCCCAGAATGCCTACCAGCCTACAACTGCTAGCCTATAAGGAATGGTCCACCTGGCTTTCTGTGGCACTTGACTTGAGCAGTGGTGGCACAGCTCATAAAAGGCCTTCAGCAGCCACTCTCGGGCTCTTTATGAGCTGTGCCTCCACTGCTCAAGTCAAGTGCCACAGAAAGCCAGGCGGACCATTCCTTATAGGCTAGCAGTTGTAGGCTGGAAGAAGTCATCTCACCTGACCAATTTTCATGCTATCATCTGCATCCACAAGCTAGTCAGCATCCACCAGTCTCTATAAAACCTACGAGATCAAGCAGCCTGTTAGTCTGGGCAACCAAATGCGAAGAGTTGCTGTCAGGGACTGGGCAGAGGAAGAATGGTGGAGACCTCCTCCCCAGCCTGACCCTTCCAGAGAAGAGGAAGACAGTTCAGAATTACAACAAAGGTTTGGGGGAGGTCACAGCTCAGAGGCAGAGCCTTATTGCTCCTGCTCAGACTAAACCGGGTGAGGGTAGCCAATGGGTATCCAAACCTTTGTGAGTTAGGGAGTCCCCCTGCATGTGAAGACAGACTCTAGCAGACTGAGTGGATGAGACCAGTGTTGGGTCCAATGATCAAGGAGGTGGTTTCTGCACATGCTGTGGAGGAAAGTGATGGGCAGATGGGGCTCATTCACCTGGGAAGGTAGTCCATCTAGGAGAAGGTAAACTCCTAAACCTCTGCTGCCTTGTGTAATATCTTCAGGAGAAGAAAAGGCTAAGGACTAAACCCTACACAAATCTGGAGTGGAGTCCCTACGACGGTTGGATGGTGCCCTGTATGCCTCCTTCTGGCAACTCCTTTAGCCAAGCTGGTGCCAAACACATTGCTCTACTTTCCTTTGGACCACATCAGCGAAGCTGAGAGGGGGGTATTGTTATCTGGACAGCCTAGGATCTCCTGCCTAGGTTTGCACTCCAATATCTCTTGAGGCAGACGGATGCCAACAACACATGCCACAGTGTGCTGATCCCAAGGGTTAGCCGTGCGGCGAGGTCCGAGTCCAGTCCGAGGTCGAGGGTGCAATATGGAGGCTGTCCATCAAAGCTGAAGTGGGGCCCAAGGCAGGGAGTCGGGTGAGGTCAGGAACTCTGGCAGAGGAGCAGGACAGAGTGCAGCCAGGAACAGGCTACCAACAATGTTGCTCCCGCAACCTGGGACTGGGGCTGGCTGGCTTTTATCTGCCTCGAGGCATAGGGCGGCCCCAGTCCACAGGTGACTCGCCTCTCCTGGCCTGGAGGCGAGCACTCCTCCTGCAGGAACTTAGTTCCCTCCGCCTCTCTGCCCTGAGCCTCTGCAGCTTAGGAGAGGATGGAGGATTACCAGACCCAGAGGCAACCTCGGCTTCCCCTGACGAGGCTGAGAGTGGAGCACTTGCAGGCAATAGGTCCTCCATCAGCTCAGGAGCCAGAGCAGACTCAGCTGGTGCCTGCACCGGAGGAACCAGCACAGGTGAGGACCCTTCTGGCTCAAGCCCCAGCCCTGGCTCAGCTCGTTCTGGAGGCGGGGACTCCTGTGCAGGCTGGGATTCCTCAGGTTCAGCCTCTGAGTCCAAATCCCAGGCCATCACACACAGGTTGCTGTAAGGAAAAGAATCTGATTATCACCCACTGTATCTTTGTTCAGCACTTAAGCAGAAACCTTGAAGACATCATGGAGACAGGAATATATATATATATATCGTGTATCAGATGCCTCATAGAAATGTTTAGACTAGGAGCTGATCAATATAATCAGTATTTTTAAATAAATCATTCTGCAAAACAGCTACTATACATCCGCAGCCAAGTGAACCCTAACAATATAACACACATCATTACGCTGAAGCCAGCCCAAGGTCTTTCAGTGCCAAGAAGATAGATAGCTGCCATTTTAATCTTCCACAGTAGCACAGTGGGAAGGGCATTGTAGGGAAATTAAAATGGTGGGTTTTCAGGGCTGTATGGAAGAGTGCTGTTTAGAAGAACACCTCAGCTGCTATCGTTAGTCCACTAGGAGAAAGCACTATCACTGCACAGAGCCCAATGTATGGAGGCTTAAGCCCAGGGCCACTTCTAAACTGGTGGAACAATGCAAAATTTGTAGCAAATCGGATGCCAATACCTAGGGATTAAAAAAGAAATCTATATGGAAAGCTGCTTGCACTTGCATTTGTATGGCCATATTTCCCATCATTGCATCACTGAGATGCAGCACTATTTTTTCCTAGAAAAAGAGGTGCCAGAACTCACCATGAACACCTCACTTGTTTTCTTAGAATTACAATGACACCCACCTGATGTGGGAATGTTCAGGATGGCAGGAGAGGATATATTGTTTATTAATATCATTCCTAACTTGCGCTAGCAAGTTCCTTTACTTAGCAGAGTGCATTCCCCTTTACATAGCAGAAAACTTGTTGCAAACTCGTATGCATTTCTTAAGACAATACACAATTCAATTTGGCATGTCCAGGAATATTTTCCTAGTAAGACCCCTTGAATCCCTCCTGAAAGAATGAAGACACCACAGTCTTATTCATAAGCAAGAAAAAGAAAGTTTACTCATGATCAGGCAGAGCACAGTGTGATCCCTGAAGGCAGCTGTAAGGCTTAAAGTTACAAACTTATACTAACAGGTTTATCCCATAAGGAAGATGACCTGGGGGACTGCTTGGCTGGCAGCCAGCAGTTCATTCCAGGAAGTTTGCAGGACGAAAAGAAGATGGAAAAGAGGTCTGGAAAGGTCACACCCACCCACTAGTCGCATGCAAGGAAGGCTGTTCCAGGCCAGGAGGAGCAGGATGTTTCTACTGGCTGGACCAAACATTCCCTTGCATGTCCACTCTAGGAAAACAAGGAATGTTGTACTTGACTACTCTCAGTGGATTACATCCCACACCTGAGAGGTGCCAGAACTGATTTCCAGCGTGTTCCGGCTGAAAAAAAGTCTGTTGAGATGTATGTGTGTGTATATGTGTGTGTGTGTGTGTGTATCTTGTGCATAGAAAGACAGAGAGGAGAGAGATCTGAATTGCAGAAAAGGTTCAAAACACTAGCACTGTGGGCCAAAACACAGAATGAACATAAATAAGAAATAATTATTTTTCCAGCCTAATCCTTTGCAGCTGAGACAAAAACCACTACCCTCCACCCAGTTGCCTCATATTTTGAAAAAAAATGTGAATCCTTTATCAGAACCTGCAGATTATATCATGACTTTTATTCCCTTCATCAGAATGCTTTCTATTTTGGAGTGTAGGAAATAAGTTTAAAGAAAGATTTCCCCACTTCATATAAAGTTTCCAAAGTGAAACTTCCAGATGCAAAGCTGTCCTCTTTTTTTTTATTTCCATGAGGAAGGATCTGGAAGAGTTGAAAACAAGAAAAAAGATAAAGAAGTAATTCTTCAAGAAACTAGAGGGCAGGAAGTTATGAGATGGTAGAAGTAAGAAAGAGAGAGGAGAGCACACCCTGCAGGGAGGTCACTCTTAGTTTGAAGGATGAAGGAAGGGAGACAAAGGGAACGGAGGAAGAAAATAGATCTGAGAATCCTCATGTCAGCTATGATCTCTCTAAGCACATATGGTAATTGACTGTTTTAAAATAAATAAATGGTTAAAATGAGGGGGGAAAGGAGAAGGCAAAACGTGAAACCATCTACGGGTGGGTATTTTTTATTAAAATAAAGTTGTAGCTAAGAGTTCAGTCCTACCACCAAAATTAAAAATGCAACATCTTTAAGGGATACATTAGGCTGACACAACTTGTGACCTACAAAGTTGAATGATGTGCACTGTCCACCGACTCCCACCATCCATATGCTGTGATCTGAGAGGTGTTGAAGAATGCCCTCTTTTTCCAAACTTGGCAGGAAGCAATTTAAGTTTAGCAAGTACCTGGTAGGCCAAAAGACATGGTTTGGTAGAGTCACAGGCTGAATGGGTCTGACTGAGATAGTGAGTGAATTATATCTCAGCTGCTTGAAGTGCTGTAGCAGGGATGGAGTACTTGTGATCCTTCAAATGTTGCAGGACTTCAGCCCCCATCAGCACCAACCAGCATGACCAATAGCCTGGGGAGATGGGAGAGAGTCCAGCAGCATCTAGAGGACCTCAGGTTCCCCACCTCCCACCCTGTGCTACATAGGCACTGACTCCTAGAGGCCGAGGAAGTTTCAGTCTCCCTGAATATATTTTTAAGGGGGCTAAGCCCCCTCAATTTTCAGAGGGGGTTTGTCTCCACCACCTGGTGCCTCGGGCTGTTGTGCATGCAACATCATACAATGTCACATCACCCACCCCCCTGCCCTCCAATTCCTCAAGAGAAGCTGGAGCCTTTGCTCTGCTACATAGAATTCCTAGTGGATGTGTCACTAATAATAATAATAATAATAATAATAATAATAATAATAATTTCTTATTTATAACCCGCCCATCTGGCTGGGTTTTCCCAGCCACTCTGGGCAGCTTCCAACAAAATATTAAAATACAATAGTCTATTAAACAAAAGCTTCCCTAAACAGGGCTGCCTTCAGATGTCTTCTCAAAGTCTGGTAGTTGTTTTTCTCTTTGACATCTGGCGGCAGGGTGCCACTACCGAGAAGGCCCTCTGCCTGGTTCCCTGTAACCCTGTAATTTGCCCAACCATAATTTGCCCAACAAAATGGACTTGAGTGGGATTCGAGCTGAGCGCAACATGATGAAGCAGCTCTCTGTGCATCCAGCCCATCATACATTACTGTGAATGCCACCATGAATGTGTCCTATTAGCTGAGCATGTGGTGGAGTGATCATGTCATTGCTTCACTACATGATGCACTCAGACACATCAGCTTAACCTGTTGGAATGGGTGGATGCTCAGGAAATTGTCTCCCTCCAGTGGTGAGGTACTGACTGTGGGATTATCAGGTGGCAGCAGCAGCCTTTTCACTGTTCACTGTTTTCACTGCATAATGGAACTGTGGAATTTTTGATAGATATACTGACATGCCATGCTAAATTTCAACAACCAGAAAAGAACTGTGTGCCAGGAAGCTGGTCAAAATTTAATCCCATGAAGTTACGGTGCAAAACTCTTGTGATTTCCCAAGTTTGCAGGGTTGCAAATGGGTTTTTTCTGTATTTTTCCCTCCCTGGGAACAATTACATGGAAAAGAACTCTAAACTTCC